TAGTCGTCACATGGGCAAGTATTCGATACTTCCTAGTAAAACGATACGCCAATTAACGTCTACGACGCGAGTGTTTTTTTACCTATCTCGGGCAACAAAAAAGGACCATCCGTAAGAAGTCTTGTCGGCAGGCCATTTTAGATCTCAAATAGACTAAAGAGCAAGCTAAAGCCGAGATCGAATCCCAAACCGTCAATAAAATGAACGATCCAGCAACATTCTAGGGTACTGCATCAATAAACGATAAAAGGAGCGAATAAAACCTGTACAAACCTCAAAATTGATCTCAGAACAACATAAAAACAAAAGCCAAATGTTACAACGAGCTTAATTCAAGGAATACGAACGGAAGAAAATGAGTCTGGATAGGAATAGCACGCTGGCCATTACGCCGCACTTGAAGGAGTCGAATGTGAGCGGTCAGGTCGCGATTAAAACATATAGGGTACGAATGAAGCAGAAAAACAAACAAAGTCAAGTAACGGGAATGATGTGTAAATATACAAAGGAGGTGGTACGTCAAACGTTTATGTATATATGTGGCGGATGGTGTTGGGCGAATGAAACGTGATATTCACAAAATTTGGATCAAACGTGGTTTGTCTGGGTTTTTCATAAAGGATTCCTACATATCGGTCAATACAGCCGTTACGTTCGATGAACCTCAAGTGGTTTATCCCTCTTCAGTGCTGCGGTTTAAATTTCAGTGTACGATGGTGGACATTTGGTTGATTCGCGGGATTACAATAATTAGTCGGATGAAGTCCTCTAGGTCTATAAGGGAAAAGGGAGGCAGTACAACGTAAACCTATTGCATTTTTACATGCTAGGGTTGGTGTTTGCGGCAGGATGTTCCACGTGAATAGATGAACCAGACCACCCCATGTGGTTTTTGTGTGGGATGGAGCCGTTAACACACAGGAGATTCTTCATGGAGAGGATAAATTGGCAACCTGAAAGAGAGAAAAATACCGATACGTTGAACAAATGGTCCAGAGAAACACAAACCTGAATCACATTCGAAGGCGATAACCGGTTACCAAGGGCTTTACAATATTGAAAATGAATCTCGAACCAAAATGATAAACAGTACAATTAATCTCGTGAAGTGTGCGCTAAAATAAACCTACCGCTATAGACTTTAAGTGTGAACTGACGGGCGTATATATTTCACTAATATTAATAATAATAATAATAAGTGTATATTTCACGGAGCCCCATGAAGCATGTATAGGCATGATCAAATGTACAACATAATCCTCCGTACAGGAGAGGCCCAAAATAGGGGGAAAAAATTGAAGGTCGCAGTGAACATAATTACAAATGGAACACAAAGTGGACAAGGTATCAGAGAATAAG